TTTTCCCTGGTTTGAATTGAAGCAAAATCAATTTTTCAGAATCTCACTACATGTATTAATCCACTTATCAGTGCAAATGGGTCTGTGGGTACATCTACAATATAAAATGAATTCAGTTTGACACCACATTAACTACTATGGCTCAATGCCATGGAATCCTTTGTGTACTGTTGGTATTTACAAGTTGAGCATCCCTTATCAGGAATTCCAAAACATGGAACACTCTGAGATCCAAAATTCTCCACATGGGTGGTTGAGATAGTGATGCCTTTACTCTCTGGTGGTTCAATGTACAACAACACTGTTCCATGTACAAAATTATTAAAAACATTGCATAAAACTACCCTCAGGCTATGTTCATATGATGCATATGAAACAAAATGAATGTTGTGTTTAGACTTGGGTCCCATCTCCAAGATATCTCATTAGGTAGGCATATGCAACTATAAATATTTCAAAATCCGAAATCCAAAACACTTCTGGTGCCAAACATTTTGGATAAGGGACAATAGTTTGGAGAATAAACCAAAGTTTGTCTTAGTTGAAAGTAAAAGTATCACTGGGCTCATCTACAATGTAGAATTAATGCAGTTTAGCACCACTTTAACTGTTATGGCTCAATTATATGGAAACCTTGGAGATGTAAATTTACAAGGTCTTTTAATCTTTGCCAAAGAAAGTGTATACCTCACTATCTCAGCCACCCATGCAAAGGAATTTTGGAGGACTTCAGATTTTTAAAGAAAAGATAGTTGACATTGTAGCTATTGTTGCCAGAAATGAGAGCAGAGATTGGTCGATGAGACATTCTCTGTCATGCAGCGACATAACTTTGGGTAATACCTGTTACATATCCCTTATCCAGAATCCCTAAATCCAAAATACTCTAAGATCCAAAATTGTTCACATGGTTGGGGGTGGGGATAGTGACACTTACCTTCTGGTGGTTTGGTGAACACAAACCTTATTCCATACAGAAACTTGTCTAACATTTTTAATCATTTAAAACTATGCCTGTGTTTGTTGAAAACAAAAATATTCATATCTCAGCCACCTATGGGAACAATTTTGGATCACTTAAGATTTCTAGATAAGGGATAATCAACCTCGATTATATTTTTTATGGCAAGCGATGAGGGTTGAGAGGATCTGGTGGGACTTTCTCCCTTAGGCGATTAAATAATTTTGAGTACTTAAAAAATCCCCTTCTCTTATCCAGAATTTCAGAATCCAAAATACTCTTGAGATTCAAAATTGTCTACATGAGCTGCTGATATAGTGACACCTTTGCCTTCTGATCGGGACAATTTAAACACATTTTAAGATTTCCAGATAAGGAATACTCAGCCTGTGTTGTACTTTTTATATGATAGGAATAAGGATATAGAGGAGCTGGTAGGATTTTGGGTAGAGGATAGAGAGAAGCGCCATGCGACTACAAAACTTTGGGTACACTTAGGCCCCCTCTACACTGCCATATATAAAAAAGATTATCTTCTTATCTCAGATCATCTGGGATAAGAAAAAAAATCTGCTTTGATAATCTGGTTTATATGACAGTATAGAAAGGTCCTCAGTTACAAACATCCAATTTACAAATGACTAAGAACAGACCTAAGACAACAGGAAGTGAGAGAAATCTACTCCTAGGAAGGAAAAATCACTCTTGAAAGGATTATCATGGGGAAAAGGTGGCTCCACTGAAGCTTTATCACCAATTCTTGTTTCCAAAACAAGCAAATTTTTTCAAAATCCAATATCACAGGGACAGAAAGTGAGATAAAAGAAGCCATTGAAACCCATAAGCATGTGGACAATTTCAACAGAAAGGAGGAAACCATGAAAACGAACAAAATCTGGCTACCAGTATTAAAAAACTCTAAAATTACAACAGCAAAACAACAAAGAGGAAACAATCTGGGACATCTAATCACCTCTCAACAAAAGATTGCTCCAGGCACTGCCAGGCCATCAAATGCTAATCAAGGTGGTCAGTTGAAACATTCCCACCTAGCTCCAACAGACAAGAGTTCTTTGTCCCACCCTGGTCATTCCACAGATATATAAACCCATTTTCCTAGTTCCAACAGACCTCACTACCTCTGAGGATGCTTGCCATAGATGCAGGCGAAACGTCAGGAGAGAATGCCTCTAGAACATGGCCATATAGCCCGAAAAAACCTACAACAACCCAGTGATTCCAGTCATGAAAGCCTTCGACAATACATTGAGATAAAATCTTCTGAAAAGGGGCACAAAGAGCAAACACCACAGGACTGTTCTTTCCCCATGCTATCCAAAGCATGGGGAAGGGAGTTATACTTACAAGATGTACTTGCTCTGACTTTCAAACAAATTCAAAAACTTACAGAAACTATCTTGTTCATAAATTAGGGACTGTCTGTATACACACACCCATTATTCTAAGGCCCACACCATTTTTAGAGATATCTATATGCTGGGAAAAGCGTGTCTTGGAATCAAATAAATTAGCATGCATAGATTACTAATCCAGTAAATTCTCAGTTAACCTGCCACCCATACAGATTGGTAGGTGCCAGATAAATGTAGCTTCTGATTGCTTGAGAGTTACCCATCGGCGATCCCTTGCATTTGAATATGATTGCCTTTGAAGTGTAGGGTCTTGGTGGTGGGTCCATAGAGACCAATTGCTTTAGCGAATCCTTTAGTGACTCCCCCACCAGGCATACTACCTATTCATCCACCTTACCCAGGGTTTTTATATTTCATTCTACCCCTTGTAACTTAGCTCAGCCCACTGTGCACATTTTAATTTTTTTTCTTTTATTTCATTTCTTGTATTAATTTGTTTACATGTTATTTGATGTTTTTATTTGTTGTATGTATTTTATTTGATTTGCTGTAATTGTTTGGGCTTGGCCTCATGTTTGCCACCCTGAGTACCCGTCGGAGAGATGTTGTCGGGGTATAAATAAATATAAATAATAATTATTATTATTCTCTGAAGCTGCTAAATGCGAAGCTGTTCAGCAGTGGAACTCTGAACTCTGGATTACTGTAATGCGCTCTACGTGGGGCTGCCCTTGAAAACAGCTCGGAAATTTCAGCTGGTCCAACAGGTGGCGGCCAGGATGTTAACTGGTACTCCCTACAGAGAGACGTCAACCATCCTGTTTAAGGAGCTCCACTGGCTGCCTTTCATTTTCCAGGCCCAATTCAAGGTGCAGGTGCTCACCTACAAAGCCCTAAACGGTTTGGGACCTGCCTACCTGCGTGACCGCATCTCCTTTTATGAACCCACGCATTCTCTTCGCTCATCCGGAGAGGCCCTGCTCGCGATCCCACCTGCGTCGCAAGCGCGTTCGGTGGGGACGAGGGACAGGGCCCTTTCTGTGGTAGCCCCCCGACTTTGGAAAACCCTCCCCAAAGACATGAGACAAGCCCCTACGTTGGCAGTCTTTAGGAAGAGTTTGAAGACCTGGCTGTTCTGATGTGCCTTTCCAGACTAGGAACTCCAGCAATATGTCCCAGAAGCACTTTATCAGAGTTTTAAGATGGTCTGCACATTGCACTTACCCTAAAATCCTACATCCACCTGTCACACCCAGCACTTTTTAATCTGTACCCATTACATTTGGCCCGGCCCTAGTTTTATTGTGTTATGGTGTATGGTTTTTATTGTTTACTGCTATTGTTTTATTGTTTTATTTGCTTTAAGTTATGTGTTTTTGTTATGCTGTTGTTTTATTGAGGCCTTAGCCTGTGTAAGCCGCATCAAGTCCTTCGGGAGATGCTAGGTAAAGGTAAAGGTAGTCCCCTGACATTAAGTCCAGTCATGTCTGACTCTGGGGTGTGGTGCTCATCTCCATTTCTAAGCCGAAGAGCCAGCGTTGTCCGTAGACACCTCCAAGGTCATGTGGCCGGCATGACTGCATGGAGCGCCGTTACCTTCCCGCCGGAGCGGTACCTATTGATCTACTCACATTTGCATGTTTTCGAACTGCTAGGTTGGCAGAAGCTAGGGCTGACAGCGGAAGCTCACGCCGCTCCACGGAATCGAACCTGCGACCTTTCGATCAACAAGCTCAGCAGCTCAGCGCTTTAACCCACTGCCGGGTACAAATAAAGTTAATAATAATAATAATAATAATAATAACAACAACAACTCTCTGCCCCGGAGTGTGGTGGAGGCTCTTTCTTTGGAGTAAAGAGTAGAGACATCACACTGGCAACAAAGATCCGCCTAGTCTAAGCCATGGTATTCCCTGTAGTCACCTACGGATGTGAGAGCTGGACCGTAGGGAAGGCTGAGCGAAGGAAGATCGATGCTTTTGAGCTGTGGTGTTGGAGGAAAGTTCTGAGAGTGCCTTGGACTGCGAGAAGATCCAACCAGTCCATCCTCCAGGAAAGAAAGCCCGACTGCTCACTGGAGGGAAGGATACTAGAGACAAAGTTGAAGTACTTTGGCCACATCATGAGGAGACAGGAAAGCCTAGAGAAGACAATTATGCTGGGGAAAGTGGAAGGCAAAAGGAAGAGGGGCCGACCAAGGGCAAGATGGATGGATGGCATCCTTGAAGTGACTGGACTGACCTTGAAGGAGCTGGGGGTGGTGACGGCCGACAGGGAGCTCTGGCGTGGGCTGGTCCATGAGGTCACGAAGAGTCGGAGACGACTGAACGAATGAACAAAGCAGAGGCTGGATGGCCATCTGTTAGGGGTGCTTTGAATGCAATTCTCCTGCTTCTTGGCAGAATGGGGTTGGATTGGATGGCCTCTTTCAACTCTATGATTCCTCCTCTTCCACCTTGCTCCTTTCTTAATGCCCTCCCCGCCCATTCAAAGAGCGAAGGGTCCCTTCAGTGTGGCTGAGGCTGGAGGTCTAGAAAGGCCAGGGCGCGCGCTCCCGCGAGGCCCTTCTTCGGTGCGCGCGCGCCCCGAAGTCCCAGCCCGGCTTGGTTCTCCGTCCGTCCCTCGGCGCGCGCACTTGTCCGCGCGCCCAGCCAGCCATCCATCCATCCAGCCAGAAGGGATTCCTGGCCGCGTTCCAGGTCGGCGCACTAATACAAGCTCCGAGGCTCCCGCCTGACTGACGCCGGCTGGAGGCTGCTTGCTTGCTTGCTTGCCTGCTTGCCTGCCTGCCTCGTTGCTTGCGGCCGCTTCTCCTTCTTCCTCCTCCTCCTCCTCCTCTTGCGGGGCGATTTCGCAGCCGCGTCCCTCCTCCAGTTGGCCAAGGGAGGGGGCGAAAAGGGGAGCCGCTCTCTGCAGAAATTGCCGCAGCCCTACGGACAGAATCGCCCTCCGGACAGGTAGGACAGAGAGGGATGGGGGTGGGTATTATTCTTATTCTTATTCTGTGAATGCAAAACAATACAAGAATTGGCTCGGATCCTTTTCCCTTGCCTTTCTGCCGGAGCTTCCTGGTCTCTCAACTTTGCAAACTTTTTTTCTCTCCCTTTGACACCGCGTCTCAGGCATCTTCCAGGAAGGTGCGAAGCTGCGAAGCGGACCCTCGGGAGGACTGTGTGTTTGGCAGCCGCTGCCCCGGAGTTCCTTGGGAGGGGCTTCCCCTCGCCTTGGCTTGCGTGGCTCACCCAAACCCCGGAGGCAGGCTGTCCCAGGGAAAAAAGAAGTAGACACCTTTGAACAGCTAATAGGAACTCTGGGGTTTAGTTGAAGGCTAAGGAAAGGCATGCATATGGAAGGAGGAATGTTAGAGGAGGGCTCCGAATGGAATCGTCAACTACAGGTGTCTGAATTGTCCTTCTGCACTGGCTTTGCATTGTCCAGAGTCCAGGCTTGGGTTAACTTGGCCCCTCCTTCCTGGTATTTTGGACTTCAACTCCCACCATTCCTAACAGCCTCAGGCCCCTTCCTTTTCCCCTCAGCCGCTTAAGCGGCTGAGGGGGGAAAGGAAAGGGCCTGAGGCTGTTAGGAATGGTGGGAGTTGAAGTCCAGAACACCTAGAAGGAGGGGCCAAGTTGGCCCAAACCTGATCCAGACACTGAATTACACACCTCTCTTCAAACTACCTGGTCATTTTGCCACACTTTTCTACCATTGGAATCCTTAATGTATTTTTTGCTGTCCAAGGCTTTCATGGCCGGAATCATTGGGTTGCTGTGAGTTTTCTGACCTGTCTGACTATGCTACAGAAGCATTTTCTCCTGACGTTTCGCAGGCATCCTTAGAGGTTGTGAGGTCTGTTGGAAAGTAAGCAAGTTAAGTTTATATATCTGTGGAATGTCCCGGATGGGAGAAAGAACTGTTGTCTGCTTGGGGCAGGTGTGAATGTCGCAATTGGCCAACTGTATTAGTCTTGAATAGCCTTGGGTAATTGTATGATAGCTGGGTCCACCTGCTACGAGTGTTATGCTGTTTCCGCTCCACTCCTTGGAAACCATTGCTGGTGCAACGCAGAACACAACACATGACCTAGACAGGGGCGGAGTGAGAGACTGAGGTAATGTAAGCCAGGCCGGACACAGATATTATAGAAGGAATGTAAGAGTCTTTTAATGGTAAAACCCATACCCAAATGCTAAACCTTACCCTAAGCTTAACCCCAAATCCTAAACCTAACCTTAAACTGGAATGTGTCCAGAGGAGGGCGACTAAAATGATCAAGGGTCTGGAGAACAAGCCCTATGAGGAGCGGCTTAAGGAGCTAGGCATGTTTAGCCTGAAGAAGAGAAGGCTGAGAGGAGATATGATAGCCATGTATAAATATGTGAGAGGAAGCCACAGGGAGGAGGGAGCAAGCTTGTTTTCTGCTTCCTTGGAGACTAGGACGCGAAATAGTGGCTTCAAACTACAAGAGAGGAGATTCCATCTGAACACGAGGAAGAACTTCCTGACTGTGAGAGCCGTTCAGCAGTGGAACTCTCTGCCCCGGAGTGTGGTGGAGGCTCCTTCTTTGGAAGCTTTTAAACAGAGGCTAGATGGCCAGCTGTCAGGGGTGCTTTGAATGCAATATTCCTGCTTCTTGGCAGGGGGTTTGACTGAATGGCCCATGAGGTCTCTTCCAACTTTTTGATTTTATGATTCTATGAAACCTAACCCTAAACCTTACTCTAACCCTAAGCCTAACCCCAAACCCTAAACCTTATCCTAACCCTCCCTTCCTTTCTATCCTTCCACCAAATACAACTACAAAATATGTTCACTCCCTCAGTGTACCACTCTCCCCGCTCTCATTCCACCCCCTCTCTCAACCACGTGATCCCTTCCCTTATTCACAACCACCTTTACAGCATCTGCATAATGCTCTTAGCAGGCGGACCGAGCTATCTTACTATCGCCTATCCTTACAGCTGGGCTGTACAGGCCAATGCAAATTCCACCACATTTCTTTATTTATAAATAAATAAGTAAATGTGGTGGCTCCCAAACATGAATCAAGGCACTGCAGACTAACTCAACCAGAGAAGTCAGCCATAGCAGAGCACCTGATGAACCAACCTGGACACAGCATATTATTTGAGAACACAGAAATGCTGGACCACTCTAATAACAACCATGTCAGAGAAGCCAATGAAATCCACATTTATTTATTTATTGTATCAAGAGCAAACCAAGGGTACAGTTGTGATGTATGCATTTAAAAACACAAAATTTAAAATCTTGGCATTCTATTAAATGCCAAGTAGCTGGTCACTTGGAGTGCCTCTGGTGTTGCTCTAAGAAGGTCCTCCATTGTTCATGTGGCAGGGCTCAGAATGCATTCTAATAGGTGGTTTATGGTTTGCTCTTCTCCACACTCATATGTCATGGACTCCATTTTGTGGCCTCATTTCTTAAGGTTGGCTCTTCATCTTGTGGTACCACAGCATAGTATGTTCAGTGTCTTCCAAGTCACCAAGTCTTCTGTGTGCCCAGGAGGGAGTCTCTCATTTGGTATCAGCCATCGGTTGAGGTTCCAGGTTTTAGCCTGCCACTTTTGGACTCTCACTTGCTGAGGTGTTTCTGCGAGTATTCTGAACTTCACCACAGACATCAGAAGAGCTGCAGTACCAAGCCATGAGAGTAAAGGCAAAGGTCCATACAGAGGAAAAGTGTTCTTACCATCCATCAAGGACACCACTGACCACATAGGGAAGCTGATGAAGGAACACAACCTACAAACGATCTACAGAACCACTATGAAAATCCAACTAATGCTATGTTCAGTAAAGGACAAGAGGGATCCTCTCACCTCTGTAGGAGTCTACCATATACCATGCAGCTGTGGACAAGTCTACATAGGGACCACCAAACACAGCACCCAAACATGAATCAAGGCACAGCAGACTAACTCAACCAGATAAGTCAGCCATAGCAGAGCACCTGATGAGCATATTATTTGAGAACACAGAAATCTAATAACAACCATGTCAGGGAAGCTATTGAAATCCACAAGCATGTGGACAATTTCAACAGAAAGGAGGAAACCATGAAAATGAACAAAATCTGGCTACTAGTATTTACAAAAACTCTAAAATCAGGACAGTAAATAAAGAGCAACACTAAAAAAGCAGGGGAATTCCAGACAAGAATAAATCAGGGCCAGCTAACACCTCCAAACAAAGGATTTCCCCAGGCAGCAATCAGCCAGGCCTTGAAACTGCAAGGCCATCAGATGCTAATCAAGGTGGCCACTTGCCTCAAGCAGACAAGGGTTCTTTCTCCCACCCTGGACATTCCACAGATATATAAACCTCACTTGCCTAATTTCTAACAGACCTCACAATCTCTGAGGATGCCTGCCATAGATGTGGATGAAACGTCAGGAGAGAATGCTTCCAGCACATGACCATATAGCCCAGAAAACTCACAGCAACTCAAACCCAGAATTAAAATATGTTAAGGGTGTATGCATGTTTTTGGGATATCTCTGTACACAGTTATGGGGCATTTGCCTTTGTTTGGTTGTTACTGTCCCTTGATAGTTCATTGAAATGAAGCCCCATGGATCTGAATGGGGCTTTCCATGAAGGAAACCGAAAACAGATCCAGTTCAGGTCACCAGGAGACAAAAGGGTGTCAAGGCTATTGCCATTCCTTGCTCACATTGTGGGAAAAATTGACCAAAAAACGGATGACATCACCTTCAACTCTTCTCAACTTGTTATGACTCTTCACTGCTGACATTCCTTTTGAAGTTGGAAGCATTGAAGTCAGTCTAAAAGGGGATTGGACAAGGACTAAGGACACTTCTCCTTGCCCTGCTGTAATGATGGTGTTTATTTCTTTTCTCCTTTCATTTCTCTTTCTCCCTTCGGTGTTCTTAGCTTACAGCGGCAGATCCTTGCAGAAGGGAAGAAAGGAAGGAGGGGGAGAGAGAGAGAGAGGATAGATACAGGAGACAAACTGACGCCAGCATTGTGATCGGAAGGAAGGAGGGGCGCAAGGCGAAACGTTTTTTATGGCTAATTAAACGCTGTCAGGCCCAACTCGGCCTCTGTTTTGATTTCTTCCTCTGCTCATGGAGAGAGACTGGCAGAAGGCAAGGATCAGTTTCATATTGGAAAAAAACTTCCATTTGGTAGGTTATGCTCTTGAGCTTCTGCCCATTAGCTATGAAATAAGTCACGGTGCTGCAAAAAGACAACAATGTACAGTCAGTATACAGCAGGCACCTCCAGGTGTTTTGGACTCCAACTCCCACCATTCCTAACAGCCTCAGGCCCCTTCCTTTCCCCCCTCAGCCGCTTAAGTGGAATATTCCACTGCTGAACAGCTCTTGCCATCAAAAAGTTCTTCCTAACATTTAGGCAGAATTTCTTTTCTTGTAGTTTGAATCCTATCTGCTCTTGAAAACCGAACAGGGTCAGTCTAAGGTTGGAACACGAATAAATACCAGGTGTGGAAAGGTGTGTTTCAGAGGAAGGGATTGACAAAACCACCTCTGAATCTTCCCTGCTTAAGAAAGTCCAATGGAATTCACAGGAATACTATAACAGGTGATCTGAAGGCACATAAACACACAGGAATACGTAATATTGTAATGTAACACTTTGGAATTTGATACCATCTAAAGTTTTGATATTTGAAGTTTAGATTCCAAAGCGAATAATTTGGAGCAAAACTTCCAATATCAGTTATGATGAACTGTTATTTATGTAAAGGAAGTCTTTGTCAACCACAGGTGGATCAAAACTGCAATTTGCTTAATTAGGAGTGTACTAACTGGGTAATGGGATAATTGTAGGTAATTATTCAACTTTCATGTTCTCGATATGGGTGGAAGGGAAGACAGTTAGCTTGTTCCGCGGTGTCTCTTTAGTACTATTGATCTCTGAAATATTAATTTCCCCCTTGGTATTAGCAG